TCAAACTCAACCTCTACCACACGCATACACACACTCAGACACCATTCATGTACTTCACTGTCGTTCTCTCAGTGCACTGTGCACAAAACAAATCTGCGTCGATATGTTAATCTGACACTAAGAACATTGGTAATAAATGGAAGGTAAATGAACAGTAATCTAAGAAATCAATGCCTCACCAGCATCTCCAGAGTCAGAGAGAATCTGAAATACAAACCAAACAGAATCCCGTCTTTTGATTATGAGCAAATAAAGCCTAAAAAACACCTAAAGCTAAGCTATAAAACCTAAACTATTGCCTAGAATGACTAGAGATGAGCAGAAATCAATAAAAAGGCTCAGTTATAGCACGATCACTTCCACAGCCCTTATACTCCACCATCACGAGTCATAACAAGTAACGCCACATTCACAGTGCAGTATCTGGCGCTTGTCAGTGACTTGTCAACTCTGCAACTCTACCCAATCACTTAAAGTCTCCACTGTCTGTTTTAAGGCACCGAAGGATAATTCCATCATTGATAATCACTTATATTTCTATTCGAATAATGAAAGACACGTTGCATGTTATGTAATGGATCACGAAATATACTGACACAAATGGAACAACACTATCTCTGCAACAACAGAATGCCCTATAACTCTACAATATCATAAAACGTGTAAATAGTCCATGTGGGGAAGTTTGTGCAGAATAGACTGGCTGGAAAAGAGACTTGGATTATAGACTGCATTATAGTGTGCTCCAAACAGCACTCTGCACAGTAAACAGGTACATATGTGCCCCAGAAATCTGGTTAAACCTTTTCAGCAAAATTAAGCACTGTATTAAACATACAAACTGTGCAAAATTGGAACTAGACTCAAAAGTACATTAGTAGCAGCTTTTGTGGACCTGTCAATACCTCTGCACTCAGGCAATCTATTGTGGATCTACTGGGAAAAACAATATACACATAAAGGTTGGTCTTAAAAACCTTTTTAATATTTTGGCCTCTAGTTTAACAACAGTAAACAGTGTAAATGCTGAGGTATGTCTGTGGGTTTGACCAAGAGCGAGTCTGAAAATCCTGCAACCATCTGTTGAACTAGGTGGACAACAACAATGGCCAGAAACTGAACTGAACTGAACTCAAGGCTTATTACTCCGTTATTAATCTTAAGATTAGTAACTACTATGAGAGAGGAACTGAAGCGTGCATGTATATACAGGCCCTCAGAGTCGAAGGGGTTAAAATGATTGTGATTCATGAGCCATGTTACAGTCATTTTACACTCTTAAAAAGATGGTTCTTCAAGGGTTCTTTAGTAAAGACAATGGTTCTATATTTAATCATAGCCATATTCTCTGTTCATTTTGCTCTTGTGTTATGGTTTGCTATCTTTTGTCGACTAGAGGAAGATGGGTTCCCCTTTTTGAGTCTTGGTTCCTCTCAAGGTTTCTTCCTCTTACTCTTAGGGAGTTTTTCCTTGCAACTGTCGCCATTCGTGATGCTCATGGGGGCTTGGACCTGGATTTTTGTGTAAAGCTGCTTTGCGACAACGCCTGTTGAAAAAGTGCTATATAAATAAACCTTCACTTGACCTTGACTATATAGAACCATGAACACTCAAAGAACCATTGAGCATGCTTAAATGCTTCTTTGCGTTGTGAAATGGTTCTTCAGATTGACGGTTCTATATAGCACCAAAAAGCGTTCTTCATTTGTTAGAAGATTGACATCGTAACAATAGCAGAACCCTTTTTGGTACTATATAGAACCATATCAGTCTTTAGAACCATTTAAGCATGAAATGTTTTCATAGTTCTATACAGAACCATTTTCTTTACAACAAATGTTTGAAGAACCATCTTTTTTAAGTGTGTAAATTAAGATCTTATAAGGTGAAGATAATATTTTTTTGAAATTCATATTACAGAATGTTAAATACATAGATGAATTTGTTATTCCCTGTCCCCTGTATTGACCTTGACAACACTCACTTCACATATGCAGCTCAGTCTGTAAACTAGACAGTGACATCATTTGTGTTGTTTGGGCTCTGGACTCCACCACACTGGGTTTGAAATGAACAGAAAGGTATTTTGAGTTTGAAGTGAAGAATATCAGCCTCAATTCAAAGCTATTTATATATACATAACGTGTTGCTGTGAATTTACTCTGATTTTTCAGCTGCGTGATGACCTGCTTTACGGTCATTAACACTTACTTTTAAGAAACAACAGTGCCACTTCTTAAATCAACTCTGGCTAAGAAACAACTGATCAGACAACTTGTGATTCCTAAAAATGGTGGTACTATGAATAGTATGTAGTATATAGAGTATGAATAGTATGTAGAGTAGTATGAATCCTTTATGGTTCGCCCACTGCAGACACAAATACCCTAAAATTAAAGCTGATATTCTACACTTTAACCCCCGAGCCATTGTTTCATTTCAAATGCAGTGTGCTGGAGTCCAGAGCCAAAAAATTAAAACAAAAATTGTGTCACATTTTTGATGAACTGCACTGCATAAGTGTAACACAAAAGAATTTCTTATGAAGAGATAAAGAGACATTTCTTACAAAAATACATCACAATAAATTAACTCAGTTATGTCCTTATTACTGTGTTGCATTGCAAAAATTGTTTTACTGTTGTTAAACTAAAGGCCTTTGTAGAATCGCTGCTCTGTGAAGAAGCAAAAGGAAAAACAATACATAGAAAACAGTATTTGCACAACTGAGCAGTGAGTATAATGCATAAACCAAATTGCTGAAATAGTTATCTGATATTTGAGTGGATGTTTCAGGTACAAGCTTTCCATAGCAGCAGCAGAACTGTGGTGTTGTTGTTTGTTTTCTAGATGTTACTAGTAGAAGAGAATAATATATATATATTTTTTTTGCAGCAGAGGCAGTACATTCACACGTTTTTGCTAAAGATGACTTTAAGGCTGCCAGGTTAAGGAGCGCCAGTTTGGTTCTCATTTGGCAAGCTGCTATTGTGTATGAATGTAAGCAGCTGCTGAGATAAACTGGACACTAGTTATTGTACGCAGTTTAATACTGAGGGACTACAAACAGACAGCTCAGCCATATCAGTATGTATTAGGGGCAGGATACTTCACATGTAACACGGTCACTGAAAAGACGATAACTTGGCATTATAGCAGTTAGTGTAAGACTTTAAAATGGGAATTTCATGAAAGATTCGTATAAAAGAATAAATGGGTTGCAAACAATGGATGGACTTAGGGGAGCTGGTTAAGCCCAAGTCTTAACCTCCTCCACTGACTATTTGAAACATTAAAAATGGGGTGAATATTCATTCTAGTGAGATTTCTACCCTGTTTTCTGCATGTACTAATATAAAACTCTAAAAAAAACGAATTAATATTACATGTAGCTGAAACTATAGTATTGAAAGGAATTTGGCCCAAATCTGAAAACAGCACGAGAGCAAAATGAAAGTAAATCAGAAAAGGTTCCTAAAAAGCCATAATAAATACCATAAATATCTCTTATATCTCGTATGTGGAGTCTTTGTTTTTAGATTGCATTGTTTTTTCTGTACCTAGAGAATAAAATCTCCTTTTTTTTATCAGTGTCATGCTGTCTTTTATCAGATGCACTAGTTTTGGTCACAGCATAGCTGTCACAACATGGAAGAAAAATGTTTCACTAAATCAGGAGCTTAACACTTTTTAAATGTTCCATGTTTTGTTAAAAAAAACTGTGAGGGACATGAACTCCATTGCTCTTTAAAACAGACAAGGATCAAAACAGGTGCCTGATGAATGACAGCTTGAACTGAGAAACTGCAAATAAAAAAACAAATGAATAAAAAAACAGGCATTTTTTCCATTTTCATCCTTGTGTGCATGTGAACCAGTCAACAGCATTGAGGAACATCATGATACACTGGTACTGTGTTCAGTCACATCTAGATATCATTAAGTCATGTTCATTCAGTCTTTTATGCACACATTTCTTTCCTTTGATTTCTTTTTCTTAAAGGCGACGGGGGGCTTGGCACATAGTTTCACATGGTTGAACTCACTTTGCACCAGAATAAAAGTATGATATACAAAAGACTCATTTTTCCATTTTAAACAAAGACCTCTCCCTCCTACAAACCAAAGCTCGTAATTAGAGATGCATGTTAAGGAACATCTCTATTAAAAACCCCATAGATGGATTATGGTGTTGTGCACATAAGGGCTAGGTGAGGGACTTTATTTAAGAGTATAAAGCAGCACCATATACAGTAATTGAATACTATTAAAGTGTCTTTTGCACCTGCATGTCCCAGACTGCGTTAGAAGTGGTAAGACCTTGAGGAAGATTGGTGTGCCAAACGCTGATTAGCACTGTATATGATGTAAGCTAAAACGAAACAAAAAATATCTCTTCTGGTTTTGTCGCTGAATGAGTCGGCGAGTATGAAGTTGGTTCTACATGACTATAGAGAGGATCCTTTTTGAAATGGGAGGGGTAAACCGGTGTGGCCTTTAGAAGCAATCTCAGTAGCGCTCTTTGCAATTCAACTGCAACATTATCATGTGTGTGTCAACATCAACATTTCCCTTGGAAATACAAACAGGAATCATTTGAGGTGCAAAAATGCATTGTATAATATAATATAATATAAAATATCAATATATTCTCTTTTCTATCTAGCATGTAGAGTCTACTGTTTGTAAAAGGATAAATAGTGTATCTTTTCAAATTGAGATGATTCATGTAAAAGTTTACCTCACTAAACTCAACTCAACTGTCCATTTCCGTTTCCAACCGAGCGCCTTTTTAGAATTTCGCCAGCGCGAGTACCACCTCCAAAACCTTAGAGGTTACCTTCCGAGAGAAGCTTTATCTGTGGCCACATACTGCAGATGAGCTAAAAAATTGCTCTTTGTGACTCACCCTGAATGTGTTCTAGTCACATCATGCACAGTCCACCATGGCCCACTTCCATCTGTCTTTTTTCCTCCATGAAGGGCAACAAAATCTCAATCAACAAGGGGGCCGCCTTCGAGACCGCTGCGGAGGTCGCAATAATGGATTGCTAGCTGTATGTGCATTGAGAGAGCAGAAGAAAGCATTTAAACATGAATAAACAGTGGGGGCAGGACTGTGTGAATGGTTTCTGTAATAGCAGCACACACAGGTGAGAGGATGGCGCGGCTGGATGGACGAGTGTGGGTTTCATAGACGTGTCTGGGCCTCTGGGATGTAGATCTCTATACTGTCTGCCCGCTCTGTGGCTGAGTTCTGGCGGAAAGATGCGGCCCGCTTGGCGGCCATCAGCCTGCGGCGGGCCTCCTGCCTCTGCCGGTCCTGCAGGTCCAGAGAGCGCTCGCGCATCACCGCCCCACGACCTTTAGGGGGCCTCTTTGGCATGGGAGGAGGCCACTTCCTCTCCTGAGAAAGAAACCACAGTGAGAGAGAGAACTGAGAGAGCCCCCAGGGAAGGAATAAAAAAAAATAGTGTATTATCATAAAAACATTCGTAGGAATGCATGATGATATCGGAATCATATCAGTATCAGCAAATATCTGCTTAAAAAAAACATTGACTCATATTTCAAATTGATATTTGATTATGTATGTTTACTGTTCCCCAGAAGAGCAGTATTTTCAGGTAATGCTGGGCTACTGTACTAAAATATCTGCTTTTTTACTTATTTTATTGCATTTGTAACTCTAAATACAAATAAGAAATAAATGTTATATTTATGTGTAATGCTGATCTAAGCAGATGGATAGTCCAATCAGTTCTACATTTTATAAATGTTAATGTATTGGGCGGTAGATACTGGACATTCACATATTGCTGCATTTCTGTGTTTGTGTAAGCAAGTTTGTTTTTGTACTTTAGTGATGTAGCCAGGAATTTTCAGGAGAGGTGAGAAAATACTAAATAAAAAATATACGCTTATAACTGTGATGTCTGTTCTTCTAAATGGATAAATTTGACACACTCATCTTTTTTGGTTGGATGCCAGATGGTAGCAATTTTGTAGCAGAGAAAAAGCAGTTGCAGTCAGGGGTGGAATTTGTCATTTATTTATTTAATGGACGTTCTACTGTCAGCCATATAAACAGGAGCGTTGCTCGGCCAGTTTTAGCTCCCCCTAAATCATCCCCTTGGAATTATTATAAGGTTCTATTATTATTAGAAGGTTCTATCTGACATTTTAGTCAAAACTGAGTTATTTACATTCCTATTCTGTGACAACATCTTGACATTATGTGAGGTGTTTTTAAGTTGTTTGCATTTTTGGACTTTTTATCTAGAAAACAATTACAGTTAATTACAACATAAACATTAATTTTATTCATTTATCCATCTGTTCTTTATTTATTACAGTAGCTGGTTGCTGTCTGAACTAAAGGGCACTTAAACTAATGGTTTTCACCTAAACTAGGTGAATAATAAAAATAAGTCTCATAAAAATGTCATAGAAAGCATTAAAGTACCTTTATGTTTTAAAATAATTTACCAGTAAACTGTTTGTGTTCCTGGAAAAAAAGCAGAAAGTGAGTTCTTAGGATTAGAAGGCTCTGTCTGCATTAGACCTGTTCCAAAAAAACTCATTTACAGATTTGATAGGATTTTGATATTGTACGTTTAGAATACATTGAAGGTGTGTGTCATTTTCATGTATGAAAGAGGCGTGCTCCACATATCACTAAATTTCCTTCGGGAACAATAAAGTGTCTGTCTGTCTGTCTGTCTCTCTCTCTCTTTCTCTCTCAGTTCCGCTATTTGGACTCCGCAAAATAAATGTGCATTGTGAGTTCAAGCCATCGACAGTACTTTGCATTTATTATTCATTATTTATTTGTGCCATGGTGTCTCCAAATTTACAATATTCTGGGATGGCAGGGCTTGAATTGTGGGAGGTGCTGCTGCTGCTCTAATCCACCACTGCCTCAGCAGTGCTACCAGAGATTTACTAACCACAAAGTAATGTCAGTTGGTCAACTGCTGATGTTGTGACATGATTTTAGATCAAACAAAATAAACAAACATAATAACAAAATAAACAAAATAACATAAACATAAAAAATAAAAGGCCTTATTTAATATTTATAATACACAGGCTCAATCAGTATATGCACTATATGGACAAAAGTATTGGGACACATCTCTTAATCATCGAATTCAGGTGCTTCATTCAGTTTGACTGTAAAGGTACAGAGCGGTTCGGCGAGTGCTGAGGCGCACAGTGCATAAAGGTCGCCAACTCTCTGCTGACTCAATTACTGCAGAGTTTAAACCTCCTCTGGCATTAACATTAGCACAAAACCTGCACAGGGAGCTTCATGGCATGGGTTTTCATGGCTGAGCAGCTGCATGCAAGCCTTACATCAGCAAGCACAATGCCAAGCATTAGCTGGAGTGGTGTAAAGCTGCCGCCGCTGGACTCTGGAGCAGTGGAAATGAGTTCTATGGAGTGACGAATGCCAGGAGAACATTACCTTCCTGAATGCATTGTGCCAACTGTAAAGTTTGGTGGAGGAGGGATAATGCTATGGGGTTGTTTTTCAGGGGTTGGCCAAGAACGCTTAGCTCCTCTGAAGGGAAATCTTAATGCTTCAGCATATCAAGAAATTTTGGACAATTGTATGCTTTCAACTTTGTGGGAACAGTTTGAGGAAGACCCTTTTCTATTCCAGCATGACTGAGCCCCAGTGCACAAAGCAAGGTCAGTAAAGGCATGGCTGGGTGAGTCTGGTGTGGAAGAACTTGACTGGCCCTCAAAGAGCCCTGACCTCAACCCCGTCAAACACCCAAACAACTAGAACATGACTGTGAGCCAGGCCCTCTTGTCCAACATCAGTGTCTGACCTCACAAATGCTTTTCTGGATGAATGGGCAAAAAATCCCACAAACACTCTCTAAAATCTTGTAGAAAGCCTCCCAGAAGAGTAGAAGCTGTTATAGCTGGAAAGGGGGACCAACTCCATATTAATGCCTATGGATTTAGAATGAGGTGTGAATAAAGACAGTTGCTTGTTAGCTAGCTAACTTTAAAGTTCCCGTAAGATAAAGAAAAGGGGATAGGCCATTAAGCATAAACATTAGCTCACTGAGGTCCAACTATTTAAAAAATGTTAAGCAAATTTAACAAATTATTTGTTTTCATATTTCTGTAAAGTATTTACAAATAATCACACCAGTATTAGCTATATATTGTTTTTACTGTATATAGCTGACAGTGGTGTTGTGTTGTAAACAAAGTTTTATATCCCTGAATTACTCAATCTGTCGAGGGTCATTAATACATGGCAGCTCTTAGAAGGCCAGTCAGATGAGAAGATTTTTGCCAGTTCAAACAAACAAAAAAGAACTCATTGATCCTGAGTTGTAAATCTGAGTTTAATAAAAATTACACATTACTAAAGCCAGGCAGGGAGAGGGAGAGAAAGAAGCTGAAGGAGATTTACAGAGCTGAAGAAGTAGGTCTAATGAAGGTCAGTGATCAAGAAGAATATGCATGAGTGCTGTTTAAGCTTTCAGTTACAATTAATACTGAATTTATAGAAATGTTTTTTTTTTATATATCCTCATTTGTGAGACTAAATTTAGAAATATATATTTTTTGTGCTGTTTATTGTTAATGTGAGCATCTAGACTGTTTAATATTTAAGCGCAACTACAGAACAAAATCATGCACAAACTGAGACTGAGCCAATCTTTAATCTATAATCTAATAATGTGTTTGAATAACATATTTAGGAGCTGCAGCTTATCTTTATTTTATTAATAGGTATTATCTATCTTCTACTTCATTGCTGTTCAAAGAAAAAGAAGTATCTCCAAAATGGTAACCTTTACAGGAGAGGGTGAAAACCTTTTTTACTTTCGGTGTAAGTTAATGTAAAGACCTTTTTTAGAAGCAATTTTTGGCCAGTTTTGTTGGTACAATCATCATGAATTTTTCATATAATGTGAAAAGGACGGCTGTTGAGCTCAAAAAAATGGAGATACTTCTTTTGGACACCGACAATCTATAGATCCACACTTAACACAGTATAAAGAAACAGATCTTCTGTGTGCCAACTTGACCAAATTGGCCACTTTTGGATACATTTTTTGCCTGTTGTTACTCTAAAAGTTCATAATGAACAGGCATTTTGGGGCCGTTTAAAAACATCATCCTAGGGGAGCTTGTCCCCAGACCCCCTTAATAAAGGCTTAGCCCCCAGCTTTATGACAGCAGGTTTTAAAATGTATGCAGCCAACCTTCTACCGCTGTCTTGCTAGCTGACTAGATTCCAAACCAAATTACTTTCACAGAAACGACATACAATTCTGACCGGTTAATCCAGATTTTCACCACAGAAGCTGGTAGCCAGTACAATGTGACTGAACAAGCTGATGGACACAATAGGTCCATTTCATGCTTGTAAATAAAAAGGAGCGGATAAATATTAGCAAATCATTAAAGATGAATTTGTTGACTTTTAGGGACATCATTTTAGTGCCACTCAGCTTTAATGGTGCTCTGTTTATATCCATGAATAACAGCCATGAAATATTTAAGAGGGGCTGACCAAACAATGGCCGTGATTTGCTGCTGGTCTCTGTTTGGGGGGAAGAGAGATTCTCCCTCAGAACTGTCCTTGCTGATGGTTGACCACTTAAAAACAGTCTTTGTATTTATAATTATGCTTGTTCAATTACTTTTGAGCCTGTGAAAATGTAAAAAATGGCTGTAATTCCTAAAGAGTTGATACAATATTTTTATTAAAGCCCTTGAATTAAAGCTGAAAATCTACATGTAAATCACATCCTGACGGTTTTATTTCAAATCCACTACGGTGGTGTACAAAAATTGTGCCACTTATGGACCTGAGTGTACATCCTGAGCATTGTAAACTACTATATACTCACTGTGAGTAAAAAGATGGAGGAAATAAGGAGCTGATTCACTGCAAATCTGTTTACTGATCTTATTAATCACTGAAGTCATAAAAGAGACGAAGGTAGCAGAGATGGAATGATAGGGATCACTAGATGGAATTTTAGTAACTTGCCTTCTCCTCTGGACGCTCCACAAGCCTCCAATCATTGCTCTTAATCTGCTGCAGCTCATCGAACTTGGCAGTGACGTCATCGATGGAGAGCTGTAGAAGGTCCCAGAATCCGGCCAGATCCTGAGAGGTGGGCCTGGGCATAGCACTAGGGTCCTGCAGGGGGAAAAAAAACAAAATCAAAATGCATACCTTTGTTAAACAGATGATAAATCTTGTTAGAAATAAAAGATCACTTTTCTATTTCACTATTTTTACACAGAATGCAAAACATGTTCTAGATAAGTGGCACTACAAAATAATACCAAGCTGGTAGACTGAATGAGGCACCACTAGGGGTCACCACCTTATTTCACTTTGGGAATCCTGTCATCTTTTTCTGACAGACCTACCTGCACTATTACCACTACTAACACGATTCAGCCAAAGGCAACTCTATTTCAGTATAATTATAGCAGTGTTATAATTTCCACAAAATAAATCAGCCTCACTGAATCAGAGAAAATAAAATGTATTACCATTATTACACGTTACAATTAGTTTTACATTATCATTTTTATATGTCTAAAATACAAAATAGTACATGTTCTGTAACAATAAAGAAAATTAAACATTATACGTCAAAAAATCCCAGCATCACTAATGGAATGAAAACTGGTAGGGGTCTTTTATCCACGTTAGCATTTCTGGGTGAAGTATTCCCTTAACGCCTGTCATTTCACAGCCCTCACTTTCATGTTATTAGCTGCATTAATTCTCCCCAGATAGCACTGCACTAAAACCGTTTTTTAGTAATGTGACATTTGACTAGAAAAATCTAGCAAAGAATGCTAAATTAAATAGTTTTATTATCACTGTATTATATAAGAGTGGACTTACCAGATTTTGCTGACACAGCCAATAGAACTGCTGGAATTTCTGGGACATGAGAAGTTGTGCGCTGCCCACAGCACTCCGGATCTTTCCTAAAACTGAAGGCACAATGACAAATAGACGAGGGAAAAGAATGTTAGCGGACATTTTTAACTGTTTTACTCATTTCATTTACATACTGTAACTTCATTTTTGCCCAGTTTAGACACTCTCAATTGTTCTTGTTGTTCACTGGCTCTCTGGAGTGCAGTGTGTATGTGTGTCTGTGAGTGTCTTTGAACACTCACTCTCCTCTTTATTTAATGCAAATCCATGAATACTTCATGATTAAACAAACCACTTTTGATTCTCTGCTCAAAGTGTAAATAAGCATGCTTTTAATAATTTAGCTGAATAAATATTTAATATTTAGTCTTTTATTCAAATTTGTCCATTTCTCTAAATTTAGATACAGGTAATTATTTTTATTGTTCAGCTCATGGTAAGGGATAATGAGATTTTCCTCTGTGAAGACTTCTGAAAACTTACTCAATGTCAACAAAATACAAAGTGATAAAACATATAACAAATGATCTTTTGTATATTTATTACAAGCATATTATTATGTATGTGTATTATTAAAAAACCTTCTTGGGAAGTGTTGATACTACACTACCTGTCCAGAAGTAGTGCCAGCATTGGGCTGTAGAACAGTGGAACTGTGTTCTCTGGAGTGATGGAGCTCCATCCAATACCTTCGGGATGAGTTGGAGTGATCCAGAACTGACCATCCAACATCAGTACCTGACCTTACTAATGTTCAATCAACTCCTCACAGCAATGTTCAACATCTAGTGTAAAGCCTTCCCAGAAGAGTAGAGGCTGTTACTGCAGCAAAGGTGGATAAACTCCCTGTTGACCCCCTTCATTTCATGAACAGCTGTCTACAAACTTCTGGACAAATAGTGTACTTCAGGGAACCTTCCCTACATCCAGATTACAAGGCAGCATAAAAACGCTGTAAATATAGCTCAGGGTTTCTAGGGAGCAGTATGCGCCTATCTTGAATGTGTGCGCGCAATGCCTGATCTGATGACCCCTCAGAACACTCACTCTCCTCAGACAGGTCGTGCTCCTCGGCCTCGCGCTCCATCTCCTTACACCAGCCCTCCATGCGTTTGGTCTCATTGTGGAGAAGCTGCATGTACCAGCTGCCGTCACGGCGCAGCGGCGACACGCGGCCCGTCTCGGCCTCCTCCAGTGAGGGCTCCACCAGCCAGGGTTCAGGCTGAGGGCTGGGCGGCCCACTGGGCCGGTAGTCCTCACGGTAGCTGAAGAGACCCTGTGTGCGCACAGTGCGGACAGCACCATACTGCGTGGGGGTGCTGGGCTCAGAGTGCCGCTGGAAGCCCCCAAACTGCAGACTTTTATCCTCCATCGAGGGGAAGCCCTCCAGCTCCATGTCTGCCTGCACTGCCGTCGTCACGCTGTTGGAGCGCTTGAATCGGCCGTGCCTGAAAACACGCGCAAAGGGAGTTTGTTACAAGATACTGATAATATATTAAAACCACCGAAGACACAACTAGATTTCTAGTGAATTACACTGTTAAAACACTAACACTACTCATATAAATTAACAAAACATGATCATTAACAATAACATTAATAATAACACTATAAAACATAATATTATTAAAAACTCGCACATTTTCTAAGATGTTCTTAATATCCTGCAACAACATTTAACACTAGAAATCACAGGTGGGTAGTTCTGAAAGGTCTTGAAAGTAAAAATCCTCCCCAGGATTTTGTTCCAGCTGCCTACTTTCTCTAGTTAGCTCAAGTCAGCAGTAGAAGCATCCAGGCAGTTGAAACAAAACCCTGGGGAGGATTTTTTAACTTCTGGACCTGAACTACCCACCTCTGCTACAGATGTAAAATTCATGAACGTTTATGGCTGATTCCATATTTTTTACAGCCAAACTGGCTGATTTTATTAGCCATTTCTTTGTGGGCTACATTGTGTGGCTACATGAACAGATAAAACACACAAGCACAATTCCAGTGCTTTCTATTAGCCCAAGTCATTTTAAATTCTTACACAAAAAGTCAGCTGCCTGTTTAAATAACAGGAATCATTCAAGTGCTACATTCAAAATAATAGGCGACTGACCATTCCGCACACTGAGTCATGTACAATTATTATTCTACCGTTTTGGTTCAGGTGTAGCAGCAGAATTCAAATACAGCGCGAGTGCTCTTACCTGCCTCACTTTATTTACATCATAAAACTGCATCAGATCTGGCAGAATCAAAATAACAAATTATCCAATTGCCAATTTCAGTCTTAGCTGATTTTGACTGTGCACCAGTATTTCCTCCACATTCATTTTCCAAAAAAATGCCTCAATAAGCTGAATAACCTTTTTACTCTTTGAGCCTACATTCAGCAGCCCATAATACTACCTGGCTAATTGCTTCTTTTGAAACATTACATTTATATTTATCAGCTAACAACTAAGAGAAATATCTATGCCAATTACAGAACACTAAAACTGACTCTAAATGCAGGTTTGGGTGTTGAGCTGAAGAGTCTGTGATGGTAGTATTTTCACACTTTTTAACAGAACAACACTTAAAATGGTCCCTGACTTACTAAATATTGTATTATGTAATCTCTTAAGGAATAAAGCCGGGCTCCACGGTGGAACTACTGCCAAAGAAGGTTGAGTTCCATAACAGCATGACTGACTGTGCTGTCACTCGATGGGAATAGTGGCTCTCTGTTTGTCAGTTCAAAATGAGGACAGCAAAAAACCATCCTTCATGATTTAATTTCCAGTAAAAACGGCCACTAAGTACAACTCAATCATATTTCAGGAGATATTTCTGAAAAGATTAGATACAAAATAATCTACTTACATAAGGAAGGGGAAGGTCAAAGAAAAAAAGAATAAACTTAAGTTTCCAAAATTGGAGTGTAAAAGCTACAGAGAAAATGAGACTCCTAACAACCACCTGGAAGACCTGGTAGACACCAAAACTGTCCCCATCAGATAAACAGCACTTAAAGCTTTCATCTTTGAGAGAGAGGAGAAAATCAAGCTGCTTCAGATCTGAAAACATCCACAGGTGTTTCTGTCCATCCTTCCACTGAGAGAAGACGACTCAGCGCTATGGGTCTGAAAGGATGTGTAGCTGTCAAGAAGAACCTCACTGAGAAAAGGAGACGGACACATCAAACAAAGAAGCTGAACAATGGACTGACCACCCCAGAGTCCAGGCCTCAACACCACTGAATGTGTTTGATTACTTCAGAAAATGATCAACCAGCTTCTAAGACTGAACTTTGGAGGTGTGTCTGCAGATTCTTTGAGAAACTGAAAGTGAGTCTCCTGAAGAGTGGAAGCTGTAATAAAGGTAAAGAGTGACACACTAAACACTGAAAACACTCATATTTCATTCAGTTGTTGAGGCTTCTGTTAAATATGTTTCCTTTTTTTCCTAATGCTGAAAAATGAGTAATTTGTACTTAATGGCCATTTTGACTGGAAATTAAATAAATGAAAAGTCGTTTCTGATAGTTCTGTATGCTGCTTGAAAGCGGGGTCATGGAAGAAGGCACATGTTATCCCTCCCTTTCATAGACTGGTAGCTATAATGTGACAGGGGAGACAGTGGGTGGGAGAAGACTGGGAGAACACTGGGAGAAGAATGAATAAAAATAAATTTAAAACTAAGTATTAATAATAAGGGTCTTGGACACACAACGCAGCACTTACCGTTTCTCGTCCTCTACCTGGATCCCCACTGACTGATACTGCGGCAGACCTCTGCTCTCTGGCTCTGAGTCTGTGGCTGCTTCCACCTGGAAAGGGGAGAAATATATTCAACAAAGGTAAACAACCGTTTGAACTGGTTCAGCCTGTCAGCAGACGACAGCTCCCCCCGGCGCCAGAAGAGCTGCTAGCGTATGGAGGTCAGGGTGGGGAAGGGATGGGTGATGGATGTGCGGCTGGAAGTGTGCTAAAACTCACTGATCCTGAGAGAACGGCTGCAGCTGCTTCAGGCACAAACCTTAACACACACACACCATCCTCCACACACACTGCACTGCTCATACATATCCTTCACACACCCAACGTTCTCCAACTGTCTTTCTGCCAGTTAACAGAAGGCTCTGTGTTAAAATGCTCTAAATGAGGAAAAACTGCAGATTTAAGATGACATTAATGATTTAACTGTAGAATTATGACATCTAAGACATGTCCAGCTCTCTTTCTAAGTGTCGGCCCCATCATTGGAAGATCATAAGTTCAATCCCCACCGATGCCACAGCTATCCGTGACCAAGAGTCCAAAAAAGCAAAAATTGGGTTTGCTTTTTATGGGTAGGTAGGATAATCCTCCATCTCCCCAACTACTCAGCACAAAGCTAGTCAATGCAGGCTTCTGTTAGCGAACATAACACAATTGTCAGTTAGCGTTCTCCTCCAAGTACGTTGAGCTGTCCGATAACATTGCATTAGCTGCAGTTCTAAGATCCTCTGGCTGGCTTCACATGTTTGGGGGGAAGCATGTGTTATCCTCAGTTACAATTGAGTCTGTGGAGATGCCTCAGGTGTCTACTATACAATTTTTGGGAATTACCTTCGATGGGAGTCTGAGTTGGAGAGAACAACTAAACTGGGTTAGCAGAAAAATACATATATCTACTGGTATAACGAGGAGGGTTGGTCATCTGGTCAGCACAAATTGTCTTTTTACTCTTCATTCTTCTAATTCAAGCTTATCTTTCATATTGTAATACAGTCTGAGCAAGCACCTTTTCCTCTACTCTCCACAAAATTTTGGTTCCCACTTAATCAGATTTATATCTGTCACCCGCTCCTTTATTTCAGAAACTTCAGATTCTTACTATTTATGGCATTTTTCAAATATGTGTTTTCATTTATAAGATACATTCAGGTGAAGGAAATGTTCCAGTGCAGTTTAAGAATAATTTCACAGCAAATTCGTTCATCCATATTCAAATCTTCATACTTCTAAACTTCTCACTTGTAAAGGTCAATTTTTAATAAGATTTAGAGATACTTAAATATGGAATGGGCAAAAAATGGTCTTAGTTAAAGTATTCTAAAAGATGTTTAAAAGACTATGTAATACTCATATCGTAACTATAGTTCAGGAGTTAATATGGGTGTATAAATAAAGGAACAAAGTCTCATTTGCCAAAAAGACATGACTTAAATGCCTTGAAGTGTTGTTTCCATACATCTGTGTTGAAAACATTTAGAAGTGCGTTGAGTCGCTGTTTCAGATAAGCCAGTTAATATTTCAAAGCATCTTGTCCATTTAAAGTATTCTGCCAGCTTACGTAGGTCATATTTAGGGTAGTTATTTTTTTGTCCTCATATACGTTACTTAAATTTGCGACTGCAATGATACATGCATGAGAGATCCTGCTGGTGTGGGCTCATGCCAGTTTCCTCTCTTTCAATGATAGTTACAAAGGTGACTCAAGTGCTAATAGCTCACCCTTGTGGATGATAATCAGGATAACGTTTTCTTTTTCAAACTCCAATTATTCATGGCCAGTTCATATTTATTGTTTGTTGAAATAAATAATAAGTTCAGTAGAATAATCTAATTAATATTACTCAAACATAACTGTGTTCAGTACCAGAAACCATTACTGCTTTGAAAGAAACCATACCAATCAGAGATAAATATGTGAATGGCAATGCTGAGAGGGATGAGTCTGAAGAGGGAGGATGGAGCAGATTAATGTTACGATTACCCCTGCTGGATCTGTGCAGAAAAAACAGAGTGTCTTGGTCACATTTTTTCATTTGTATCCAATGTTATGAGATTATTTAATCATGCACACAGTACAAATAGAAGAGAATTGCTAAGAGTGTTTTTGCAACACATAAGAAAGAAAAAAGCTGTAAATCGATTATCATATTGCTAATCTATTGCAAAACTGTGCTGATAGTGGCCCCTGCGCTAACATTCCTCACTAATGACTTTGTTAGTCATTCTGATAAATGTGAGCTGTGTTGGTGTTGCAGGCAGTGGAGCAGCTGGTGTGGCCTCAGTGGGAGTGGACGTCTATAGCACATTAGCATCATTAATCCTTGTAGTTCAGGCTCGGCGCGGGTCATTCTGGCAGCCTGTCCTCGGCTCCACTGCATCACGACTCCGATCCCAATTTATGACTCCCACAATGCACTGGCTCGGCGGGTGACTCACTCTCTATTTGTATGCTCCTGGCTGCTCCAGGCTCTTGTGCGGGAGTGGGCGAGCGAGCAGCTGGGTTATAAATAAACGGAGGTGAAATGAGGTTACCTGAATTCCAATGGAGGAGCGCGGGGTCTTGAGGTATTCCTCCGCTTTGGACACCAGGATGGCCTTGTCGCAGGTCTGCACCGAAGTGTGGCTGCCCGTGAGCCGCTTGGTCTCCATGGCCAGTGTGACGGCCTTGGCGCTGTCCAGGCTGTCGGTGGATGTGTAGATGGCCCTGCCCAGGCTGTCCGTGGTCCAAAGCCCGCCTCGGGGCAGGCGTCCCTCATGATAAGCGTCCTGCGTGGACTCTGTGCTGCTCTGAGCCGTTACTGAGATGATGGGCTTGGTGGTACTGCGGGGTGGCACGGGAGGAGGCGTCTTCTTATAGTCAGGCGCATAAGTCACCGTTGCTTCTAGACATAAAGAGGGCACAGGACAAAGAGCCACATGATTATGACACTGTAAGAGTCTCATAACGAGGAAGCGAAAGGATCATATAAGCAGGATAATAAGGCAGAGTTGAGGTGAATGGGCTGGAAGTGTAATGAGGGATTATGTAAAATGCAGGGGAAGTGCGCCTGTACAGTGTGAGAAAGACGTTGTGTTGTTCACAGCCTCAAGCCATGTCCTACAATGCTGCAGCAGTTAAACAGCTTGTCTTCCAGGTAGTTCGGGGGTTTTGAGGGAAGTATAGTTCCTTTCAAGTGTAAATGAGAATATGATGATAATCCACCCAGATGGTGTCTACAGTGAAATAAGTTTTAATGAGAGACACACGCTCTTCAGAGGAAGGCTTCAAAGAAATTTGCGCAACTGGAAGTAGCCTTCAATACACAGAGTTGATTTATGTTTCTCCTGCTATCATAAAGGCCTCTTCACTGCCACATCACTGGGCTCCCTCACAGATGTTTGCTGACAGTTTCAGTATAATGTCTGTAGTTTCCTTCAGAACAAAATCATATATGTGGTAAATTACTGCTGTTGGAACAAAACCTTGTATCTCCTTTTTTTGTAGTTTTTTTAGTTCTTGACATAATTTGAAAATGCCTGTTGCTCTTAACATTGTGTGTAAATTTCCTGATGAATGGACCAAAAGAAATGGGCCAGAATGACTTGGAAAAAAGTCTGGTTCTATTGATTTACATTAAAAGTATGTTTTTTCCTTCTCCTGTAAAGTTATCATTTTGGAGATACAAGGTTTTGTTCCGACAACAGCGAAATGTAAAAGCTCTTTGCTTCGAACATTGTTAATTCATGACAATCACGGCAAATTAATAAAATGTTAAGAAGCATATTCAATTTTAAAAAGTTACTGTTTATTGCTACTACGTAGAAAATGTTATAAAAGTAAACAAATTATACATTCTTAAAGAATGTGTTTTTTAAGGGTTCTTTATTAAAGAAAATCACAGTGGCTGAGAAGACCCAACAAACTGCAAATAAAAAACAAGCTGCAAACTCAGAAAACACTTTAATCAAAATGACAACATGGGCGCTGCATTTTACAAACACGCTGCAAATTCGTAGACACTCTGCAAACTCAGAAAGCATTTTCATCAGAATGACGACACCGACACTACATTTCACAATCGCCCTGCAAACACAGAAAACACATACAACTTCAGAAAAGCTCATCAGCCAGTCACAACACAACGAATATGTTTCCGGAGGACACTCAGAGAGGACAGAGCCATTCAGACTTTAAAATTCTATGCAGCACAAACATATACCAGTAAAAGTAAGTTAACTTTTATTTTAACAGATTACTACTATCACTGTATCATAATGGGAAGCTGTAGAACTAGTAACACTAGATTAACTACCACAGGACAGCTATGACATGTCAGATAGCAAACTAGCCAGCCAGGTTAACCATGAATTTGGGATGTGATTGTCCGAGTGTCCGTGGTCTTCTCTACATCTGTCTCTAGTGTCTTGTCGGCTACCGTAGAAAGTGCATGATAAGCTGTTTGATATCAATTATTAAATAACAGTTAATTAGAGTTTTAAACTATAACTGAGCACTGCATAAAAATATGATTGACTTTTGAGAAGGGTTCTGTATAGCATCTACATCTACAGCACATTCTCTATCAATTTGAAGAACCGTTTAATCAAAGCGTTCTTTGAGTGTTCATGGTTCTACACAGAACCACTTTCTTTACTAAAGAACCCTTGAAGAACCATCTTTGTTAAGTGTGTACTATATAATAATAAGTAAATGCCATTAACTCAGCTCAGAGCACTACAAACTGCTTTCCATGCAGCCACTGAAGTTTAAAAAAATAAAGTCACATGTGGGAGCACGATAAATTGTCAGATGATAAGAAAAATACTCAGCGTAAAATTTGCGCTAAGAGATTAGTCTACCATGGAGGCTCTGACTCCTCACTTCAGGTGGTAATATCAGCTCTATTTCTCATCTTCTTTTCTAATGAAACAGTTTTACAGTGAGTTGAATACTTGACAGCACAAACAGCAGATCTGTTTATTGCGACAAAATCACAACCACAAGTTTTTATGGCTGTATCAGAGAAGAGTCTCCTCCTTACACCGTTAGTACAGCGCACAAGCTGCTCTGAAACTACCACAGACCATCTTACGCACTGACGCAAATTCAGGGGGGGCTCAGGTGGAACATTTCCTCCCCACTTTTAGCAAGAAAAGTCTGGGGGTCACAGGACGGTTATAGAAAAAAGTATCTAGATGAGCTGTTTGATATCAGTTAATACACGGCAGTTAATTAGAGTTGTAAACTGGAACTGAGCGCTGTATAATAATATATATAACTGACTTATGCCATAAGGATTATTAACAGTCCTTACTTTTTCTTAATTGTCATCATTATTATTATTGTTATTGGGGTATTTTACTAAAATATTTCAAGCAACATGCAGACAGAAAAAATGCCACTGTATAAGGCAACAAACTTAAATCCTTACACTTAATATATATGACATTATTATTCATGTTAAAATATATATTTGTTTTAATATTGACATACAAAGCATGAGACATCTCTAACAATGGGTGTTTTCACACTACAGTTTTTTTCTGGACCCAGGAACGCTTACTCTGCGAGTTTGGTATGTTTGGTCAAGTGTGAAAACTATTTTCAAGCCCAGGAGCGGATCAGAGAACCCATCTCTAGTCCTAGTAAAATCAGTGGTCTGGGGTTAACTTCCTGTGAGCTCTGGTGAAAACTTAAAAAAATAATAAAAAGCAACAAAAAGATAAAGTTAGTGCTGACCATTCTGCACACCTGCCCGCAGAAAAGTGACGTATGGAATTGCGCAATCGATTCACGGTTCGGATGGAATTCTTAAGTGTGAAAGCAAACCAGTGATGTAGGTGTACTCTGTTTATACAGGTTTATGTTTGAATTGTTGTATGTAAGCTTTAGCCGCCTGACATTGGTCCCTCTCGCTTGTCAGACTTAATGTTGATAGATGTAAGATGTGTGTCCAGCACAGCCGATGTGCACTGAAACATTGATTAACGCAGAGTGCAGGTACAGTCACAGAAGAACAGAATCCAGGCTTATTACACAGATGTCACTGTTAAAAAATGATAGACAGAAATGGTCAGGGTTGAGAAGATAGTATCAAAAATGAAGACATAAATAACATCATGACACATCCCCTGCTGTTCTGCCACAAATTTTATGATTTGTATAGATGTTTGTACATTTGAGGTGCATAGCTTTGTTCTATCTGCAAAAAAACATTAAACGATATGGGGACAGAACTACTGCACGAGACATATGCTTTATATGGTATAACCTACACTCTTAGCCATGTCAGCAGTTTGATTTGAATCAGATCTCGCACCCCAGAAATAAGGGGGGAGTATCATTTAGGGAGGTTTTAAATACTACCCCAGCAACATCTGCTGACATTTCCACCAAAATTAATCTTAAAAATAACCAGCCAACTTCTTTTATGAAGAACAGTGTATGCATGTTTATAACCTAGTTCATTAAGCACTCTGGATTTGTCCTAGCTAGATATCACTTAATTAGAGACAAGTGAGGGTAAACTGTTCCAATATGACGTTTCCAAAATCTCATTAAAAGAGAAATGAAAGTCATATTGCTCAATAACGAGGAGGAAGAAATAATAGTCAGTGTTACGTGGTCAGAGGTGAACAGTGTTATATTACGTGTGTTAGTGCTCCAGAGCTGTAGGCTTTGCTGTGTTCATAGTGTTCTTATAGTTATGACTGAAAGCCATTTAGTCCCTCATCTGCTGTACCAACAACCAGCAACTTTAGTTCATCACTGAGAGATTCTGTGTTTGGCTTTAAGTCCTGTTGTGCTGTTTGCTGTAGGACAAATAAAAGATCCACTGTTATTTACAGACTGAAACAACAGAAATCATGAGTGTAACCTGTAGAATCCATATGCATGATGTGTCTGCACACGGAGAGGAGTTAGATTAAATTTGGCAGTTGGAATTTGGTGCTGCTTAACTTGTGATTGATAGCATCAGCAACTGAAATGGCAAGTCCTGTCCCTATATCGATTATATTTTTGCAGATCGTAAAAAGCTATGCATGTCACATACATGAGCACCTACACCAGGGGTCGGCAACCCAAACGTTAAATAGAGCCATTTTGTCCTTTCAAGAAAAATCAGTCCACTCTGGGAGCCACAACATTTTATGTCCATTTTACCATCTTGGCTGTAAGTATGTCTCAGTATGTTTTAATGTCATAGTATAGGCTAATAAATATAATGTAATCAAAAATGCAGACTTATTTTGCTCTGCTTTAAGCGTTAGCTCAGCTGATTTCTCACATCTCCAGCAAGAAACTTTTCCAAAGGTAGAACATCATCATCATCATCATCATCGTTAACCGCTTAATCCAGATAGGGTCGCGGTAGCAGTTGGGAGAGCAGAGAATCCCAGGTGACCCTGTCCCCCGCAACTTCCTCCAGCTCATTCCCGGGGACCCCAAGCCGCTCCCAGGCCAACTTGGAGATATAATCCCTCCAGCGGGTCCTAGGACGACCCCGGGGTCTTATTCCGGTAGGCCGTGCCTGGTACACCCCCACCGGGAGGCGTCCCGGGGGCATCCGGATCAGATGCCCGAACCACCTCAGCTGGCTCCTCTCAATGCGGAGGAGTAGCGGCTCTACTCCGAGCTCCTCCCGGATGGCCGAGCTCCTCACCCTATCAAATAGAGTGTAGCCCGCCACCCTGCGAAGAAAGCTCATTTCTGCCGCTTGTATTCGCGATCTCATTCTTTCGGTCATTACCCACAGCTCATGACCATAGGTGAGGGTCGGGATGTAGACCGATCGGTAAACAGAGAGCTTCGCCTTACGGCTCAGCTCCCTCTTCACCACTACAGTCCGGTACAGCGACCGCATTACTGCTGCCGCTTGTCCCAGCCTGCGGTCGATCT